AGGCTCTCTTGATCTCATCAGTAACCCTTTAACTCACAGAAGTGATGAACCTGTAACTTCTCCCTATAAAATCCATACATTATCCAGCAAACAGGTAATGACAATACTCAAACTTATCAGGTAGAAGTTGATATCTTGATCTAACACCAAATTCTCGTTACCAATTTACAAGGAAATGTGTAGTAGCTTTTTCTTCATCAGTCATTGTTGCTTGACACTGACATTGTTCTCTTTTCTATTTAGGAAAGAACAACATATCATGAAAATGAAATCCAACAAACTATCCAGCAATTGGAGCAACAGTTTTTGAAGTTTGAATCCTCATCAGAAAAATTCTCAGTGGGAGCATAGTTAGTAGAGGAGATTTAGCCACAATTGTGGCTAATGTTATTGCTTAAAAGGCTGCTGTTACAATTACCACTTTAATAAGTCATAACATGGTAGAAATGCATGATTCTTTAGAATTCAAGTACAAACAGGCCAATGTAAGTTAGGAGAAAGATAACAGAGGTAAAAAATCTGCTGCCTCCAGTCATTTCTCCAAAGGAAATTCTGGACAGTAGTGATCTTATTGCACAAGGAAACTTTTCAACTCAGTTGTAAATGTAATTTGGTGTCATTTTTTTAAATTGTACTTTCACACAAGTTATTTTGAGGATAAATTCCCATTATTATTTATTACTGTATTGAAATTGCAAAGTTACTTACATGTACCAAAATAGACTCAGTGCTGATTTTCCTTGTTTTCAAATTTATGATTGCAAGTACTATAGAATTTTCGATGAAACTCTTTCAAAACATTCACTGAATTTTTGCCTTCCGTCTTCATACAATTGTTAGGTTGTCGATTCTTTATCTTGATCTAACACCAAATTCTCGTAACCAATTTACAAGGAGATGTGTAGTAGCTTGGGAGTTAAAGGGGTAATTCTCCTGACTGTCTTCCATAAAATTCTTATGATGTTAGCTCAGAGAATTTGGCATTGGATCAAATAACATTCCCTTAAATGACATTTTTCTTCATTCTCATGGCTCTTTGGGTTGATATTGTATTGAAATTGCATGAAGAAATTCAGTCTTGTTCACTAATGAGAGTTAGAGGGTCAACTTATGATTGGTCTCAGTGAAAACAGCTTTGATTCAATAATTCTGAACGTGNAATGAGATTACTCAAACTTATCATTCAATCTGACGAAGGGCTAATGCTCGAAATGTCAGCTTTTTAACTCATTACGGTGGCCAATTTACAGCTTAGGCATCTTCAAGACATTTTGATACTAATGTGTAAGGTCCAAAACTCCTTGGCTTGGTAGCTAAATCTCTTGACACATTAATAAAGTATTCACTTCACTTCAAAAAGTTAAGAGAAAGACTTAATATTTTATTAAGCAGACAATTCTTTTTGAAAAGTAGAGGCAATGGGTTTTAAGTTTTACATTCAGTCTCCACTCAATTCTCAACCACAATTATGGGGGGGAAAGTAAGTCAAGATATTCAAAGAAAAAAAAGTCTTCAAGCCTTCAAGAAAGCCATCAGGAGAATTAATATTACAAACCTTTTAGATGGGTCATGCAAATGCAATGCCTGTATTACATAATAGCTTCTTATTAACTAAATTTTATATGCATGTGATTGATACATTTTGTTGTGTATGGTTGTTTGTTTATCTCCTCCGATTTTATATTTTATTCTATATATTTCTATGAATATCATTTTAAAATATTGTAGATAGGAGTCTCCCCAATTAGCTTGGTAGCTAAATCTCTTGACAGATTAATAAAGTATTCACTTCACTTCAAAAAGTTAAGAGAAAGACTTAATATTTTATTAAGCAAACAATTCTTTTTGAAAAGTAGGGGCAATAGGTTTTAAGTTTTACATTCAGTCTCCACTCAATTCTCAACCACATCTTGAATAAAAAATAATAAAAAATAAAAAAAAATAAAAAAAACTGAAGGAATTTGGTAACCTCCCCTTACAACAAAAGGTCAGGGTCATCAGCTCTTGCCCCTCAAAAGTAGCCTTGAAGAGCAATGGCTTCAACTATTGTGTATAATAATTAATGAAGTATATTTGAAGCAAAAATTTTATCTTGCTAGTTGTCCCTGAACAGCATCTTAGTCTACAAGGTAAATAACTAAAATGATTGGATTTTAACTCACAGATGCAATGTTATGCCCATTTCACGGAACTCTTTTACATTTAAAAGAGGAGATATGATGTCCTGACCATATCTGTCATATACAAGGACCTGCATAAAAAAAAATAAAATAATAATAATAATAATGACAATAATAATAATTCATGTCTGCCTGAATCTCTGAATCAGATACAAAATAACTAAGTAATTACCTTTGCCAAAGAAATATGTTTGCTTTTCTTACCTTACATGGGACGGTTTTCAATAGACCCCGTCTCTCCCAGGCTCCCTCTTTTCTCTCTATTCTTCCCTCCCTCTCCTCTCTAATACAACAAGACTTTGTTCCTTTCTTGTCATTTTTTTAAGGGCTAGGAACTGCTTCAGAACAAAATTATCGGAAAGAGAGTTTCTATACCTGTCCATTTTGAATATTGCCCCTCCCGTCTATGGGGCCTCCCTCTCCAAGAAGCCCCTTCATCTCTCTCCTTTTTCCTCCTCTCTCTCCTTACTCCCCCCTCCCCTTCATTCCCATCTGAGAAGAAAAGAAACTTTCTAGTTTTAAGTTACTGTCATTCTTTGGGCTAGATAATACTTCTGTACAAAATTAGCTGAAAATTATTCTGAGTATCCCCTCCCACTCTAGAAAGCCCCTTCTGATACGCCTCCCTCTCTAAACCCCCGACGGGAAGCCAAGGGAAACGATAACTTCCTCGCAGGCTTATTGGAGCCCCCACGGTAGTAGGGTCATTTAATGTGTTTAATTGATACCTTCCAGACGGGTTCGACAGCAGTTGAATTCGTTATCGGCTGATTTAAGTTAAGCATCCGCTTCAAAGATTCTGAAATTAAACGCACAATTATGTGGGGATTGTTTTTTCATAAAGAAAAACTTGACAGTAAAGAGGAAGGAATGTCTTCCTGTTACCAGCACAGAAAGAGGGTCGTTTATAGAAGATTTCTTCTCAACGGAAAAACTGACATTTTTCAATTTAAACGTCAAAAGTGAGATTATAGATATCGCAGCTAGTTAGTAATTTTTTCAGCTTAATGATCTGTCAACGACAAAAAGAACCAAATGAGACTCAGTATTACCTATCTGTCTCGCTCGTATGCCGGCCGCCATTTTGGATTTTCTTAACAGGAGGAAGGTTGTAGCCACACGCATAAAGTGTGTTTGTTAAAGCTATATGGTTCAGCTTTGTGTGCCTTTTGCAAACCCAAGATCTTAGAAAATGAGCCAAAAAGGGAAGCCATCCAACGTTGGAACTGGTTCACAAAATCAAGATGACGGATAGATGGTGGCAAAGTTACCGTTACTTACTCAAATCTGGTAAGATCTTTATCTTAAAATAAAGATGTGCAATGATGTATCTATACTTAACCGAGAGTGAAATTCGCATTTGTACTGTTTATTATCTTTACCAGAATCAATAAAGATTTCGAAAAAAGCTTGCAAAGATTGAGAAAAGAGAGGCAGATGAAACTGCCGCTTTAGGAAATATTCTGCAAATGGTCTGGAGCGGATCCACGGGTGCATCGGTCGAACCCCACTAAATTTTCGGAAAGACTTTCATATAACCCCATTCATTAATTATGCATTCATTTCATAATGACTAAATGTAAAGTTTCTTTGCGACACTCTATGCATAATTAATGTGTGGGGTTATATGGAACTCTTGCCAAATTTTCGCTCAAAATCCTACAAATCATGTTTCCGAAGACCTAATTTTGTAAATCTCTCAGGGAAGCATGCCCTCGGACACTTCTCCGGGCCCCCCTTGACTTAACCTTAGATTCGCCCCTGAGGGTTGAGGAAATTTCGAATTGACTACCGAGGAAGGAATGTGAGACTTATCAATAGTTATCAATAGTTATAGTTTAGAAAATACTGTTGGTTTTATCTCGATTTTCTTCCTTCTTCTTTTGATGATTCAGATTGTGTGAGAATGAATAGTTATGATAAAGGAGTGTAGGCTGTTACAATAATTATGTTATCAATAGCTCATTTATTTCAAAAGTCATGTGACTCTTGATTGTAATACAATGATGACATGATTCTTCAGTTAGTATATTGAGATCCTAATGTCCTCTCTAGACGTGCCCCTTCATGACATCTATAAATAAAGCTATGGTGTGACTCCTGAAGAGCAGTTGGTTACAGCTTTTGCTTTTCCTGGATCTATTTTAACATTATGTGCAGTGAGTACTTGTCCCATGAAGGGAACTTCTCTTCGTTTCAGCTTCAATTTGTCCCTGTTGAGTGCAATGCTACGCTCACTGCATCTTTGTAGTAGGGTTTCAGGATTTCCGTTGTGGTTGGCAGTAGCTTCTTGTTCACGGTTGCCAATGCCGTACACTTAGATGTCGTCTGCAATAGCGAGCACTCCACTCAAGCCTTCTAGGGCTTGGTTAACTCTTTTCTGGAAAATTTCTGAGGAGACTGACAAATGGAAGGGGAATCAGTACCAATGATATCTCCCAAACGGTGTTGAGAACATAGTGAGCAGGCTGGACTCTTGGTCTAGAATGCAGTGCCTATAACCTGAATGCAGGTCAAGTGTGGAGAAGGCTTTTCCTTGAGATAATTCTGGGAGAATTTCATCCAGTATTAGTATCTGATAGGTTTCTCTTTTCCATACCTTGTTCAGTGGTCGGAGATCAATGCATACTCTCGGGGCCCCCGACTTCTTATTAGTGACTGCTAAGCTGTTTACCCATGGTGTTGGCTCTTCTACCGGTGCTAGGATTTGTTTCTCAACAGATCGATTTAGCTCTTCTCTCAGGTCATCTTTGAGTGCTGTAGGAACTCTTTGGGTTGAAGTGGTGACAGGTTTAATGCTGTTGTCAACTTCTAAGTGGACTTCTCTAGGTAATGTTCCCAATGGTCGGTCAAATACATCTGAATATCACTTTATCAGCTCCTCAGCAGTTATCTGCTTAACCTGCAGTTCATTTCTT